CGGGCACCTTTGGCTGGCCTTGAACCTCCAGCCTCTCATGAGCTGCTGTTTGCACTGTCCTCACCTGGCTCCTGGACAAGGTGGGTGAACGTGCTCTTGGGGAGTCGGGAGTGGGTCCCGGGCCCTGGTGGGGCGCGACCGATGCTCAGAGCGAGAGCAAGAAAGACAAAGCTGTGTGGTGACAGAGGAGTGTCCAGTGGTGACTGCACCGGTGGGCCATGCCACAAGGCTCAGCTTTCCTGTTTGTGAAATGGGCTGACATGGGCCCACGCGCCTTCTCACAGATCCTGGGAGCCCTTCGGTGGACCCCCACTGTGCATGCCCTAGTGCGTCAGCGCCAGCCAGCATGCCAGCCTGCGGAATCTGGCCTGTGCCATGGTTAAACAGAGGCTGATACTTTTGACAAGATTTCTGGTGGCCCCTGCTGACCTCCCCTGGGGAGGTCCCTGGACACGTGGACTGTGGTGTGTTGACCCCAGAGGGTCTACTCCTCACCGCCTGCTACACTCTGTAAGGAGACGATCCCCTTGCCTCGTGTCCTCGCCTCCAGCCCTGTAGGCAGCCTACTGAGTTTGAGGAACAGACCTAGAAGTTGACCAGTGACGCCAAGCGCCTCTCAGCATAGCCCGACATGCAAGGTCAAAAGAACAGCATCGGCCCCACAATAAAACCCAATACAGGAAGGGGCAGGAGAGAAGTATCCGTGGCACTGAGGATCTCGGCAGGTGGGGAAAGTGTGATTTCATTGCGCTTGTCGTGTAGTTCAACAACATGTGTAGGAATGGGTGACTGGAAAACCAGCACGCTTTGTAAAACTTCACTCACTCAAATCACAAAAGTAAGAAAAGTAAGAGCATGAAGTCAAGTCAAGGCGTCTTTCATTGCTGTTTGGTGCCACCACCATGCTGGAAAGGTGGGCCCACCACAGGAGGCCCCTGAGCTGCACGGTGTGGCCATGCAGATGGACATACCATGACAGTGTGGACACACGACTGTAACAGCGTCCTGAGCAGAGGCCTCTCATTGGCCTCCAGGGACCCTGAAGCTGAGCCCTGGGGCTGCCCGGCCCCTGGACACCTGCTTTGTGCTTTCGTCTTCGGAGCAGTGTCCCGTCTGGGGTGTGAACCTTCTGCGGCCAGGCTGGCCCAGACCTCTCACAGCAGCAAGTCGCATCCTGCCTCAGCAAACGTGCATTGGGCTGCATGTCTGTGTGGGCGGGTCTTTGTCTCAACCCCACGAGTTACTGGACGCAGGGATGCATGCGTGCTGACCGCTGACCGAGCCTGTGCTTCCTCCAAGTCCAGCCCCGGAGGCAACTGTGATGTCAATGTCCCCAAAACTAAAAGAGGGGCCTCCACGGAAGCGAGGGGAAAAGACGTTTAAAAACTTGATTTGGGTCAGCTTCAGTAAATACAGCTTTTCTTCAAGGACTTGAGATCGGCAAGATTCCAGAACGTTCTGTCCTCTTGTTAACCTCCCCGAAATGTCAGCAGTGAGCTCTTGACAACGAGGTCTCGAGTCGGGAATGACTCAATCCTCCTCCGAGCAGACCCTTTAAATAAACATGAGTCATCTCTGAGAACACGTCCTGGAGGTGAACAGTGCGGGTTGCCGCCCCCTGAGCACGCCCATCCAGGAAGCAGGGAACTTCAACGCTGCTTTTTCCAACAGGCAAACAAAGGGATAATGGAGTGAGAAGCTAGAGATTCCGGCTCACGTTTCTGAGACTTAAGCGGGAACTGATCTTGGAAAGACTGGGGTGGAGGGGTCTGTGGGCCACAAGAAAGGGGTGTTACGTCACGCACAACTGCACCGACTTGCTGCTCTGGAGAACCCGGCTGAGGCAGTCACCTTACAGACGCACCTGCAGTCCCAGCAGGATCTCGGGCAGGCGCCCCTCTGGCCACCCAGAAGGACATGAGTTGGCAAATGTTTCCAGAAACGTCCTAGAGCAGCCAGGTTAGCTGTTGGGACGCTTTTGAACTTGCTGGGACTGTGACAAGCTGGGGCTGTGAAGGGCACATGATTATTTTTTTTCCTTGTTCCCAGGATGAAAAAGAAAGGATGCAGGAACTGGAGGGGAAGTGCTCTCCATGGGACCGGACCTCGTAGTGTCCAGTTGTCGCCGGGATGGAACTTGGACCATCATGTGAGCCACACCCAACACCCTACAGAGGACGGCCTGGCAGCGCGTGCTTCAGCCCGGCCACGGGGCATCGGGTCACTTTATGAATATTAATGACCCCATTCATCCCCACAGTGAGTGATGTGGGGACCGAGAAGCGCACAGGCAGCTGCCACTCCCCGCAGGCCAACGTTCTGACAGTGTTCAGGGGTCACAGTTCTCCTGCTGGCCATGCACGGAGAAGCCACCGTGTGACTCACGGCTGCACAGGATAGACGCACAAGGAGAAGGTGGAGTCAGCTGCAACGCCCAGCGACCGGGGAACAACAGCTCTGAGCCTTGCCCTGTGCAGTTCCATCCTCGCCGCTGCTGATCTACTCGAGGCCATTGCTACAGTCATCATGTCAATCCGACTTCTTGAGAGTCTTCCTCTGTCACCTGACTGTCCACCTTTCCCAGCATGATGTCCTGTTCCAAGGACTGGTCCCTCCTGAAAGCTTGTGCCAAGTGTGGAGATGTAGATGTGAACCAGTAGAAGGCCGTTACTGGTGACCCACCATCACATAGCGCTGCTGTCCATGGTGCCTGCCTATCGAGGAGCCTGAGGGTGCAGTGCTGGCTAAAGCAATAGAGGGTCTTTTCAAGGACTGTCGGCTCAGCAAGGCCACGCTGGCGTGGGATGACACCCACCTAGCGGTGTCCTTACAGAAAGGAAGAAACAGACACAGGATGGTAGGCACATGAAAATGGCCAAGGCCCAAGGCCCCCCAGGCCGTCCAGAGGGGACACTCCACCCTCTAGACACGCGCCTGGAGGTCCTCTGTAGAGCCACCCTGGGAGACTCCTCTGGCAGGGACAGGACAGGTAGAAACTGGACCATGGCATCTGGTTTAACTATCTTTGATCAGATTTGCCAGCAGCTGTTTTAGCACCAGGCCGCATGCCCGTTTGGCTAGCCAGGCTCTGAAGGGATGGGAAGAATCATGATGGAAGGCTGAAACACGGGGCCAGGACACCTGAGGTTCACCTTGGGCAGGCCTGAACCAGACCAGTCCTAGGTCATTGCAGGATAGGTTGGCCTGATTAGGAGTTTGATCATTTTGCTATCGAAGATCATTCAAAAACGGCTGGAACCGGACCTAGACAGAGAACTGCCAGAGGGTCAAGCAGGATTTAGAAAAGGCCGTGGCACCAGAGATAGCATTGCTGACATCGTTGCAGCTGGGTCCTGAGCGAAAGCACAGCACACCAGAGGTGTCTGCTTGGGCTCTATTGACTGTGCAAAAGCATGTCACGGTGTAGATCACGACAAGTTGCGGCTGACATGAGAAGAATGGGACCCCAGAGCACATAACTGTGCCTACGGGGAACCTGGACCTGGAGGCTGTTGGGTAAATGGAGCAGGGAAACATGGTATGGTTTAAAATTGAGAAGGGAGTGTGGCAGCGTTGTCCATACCTATACTATCTGTGTGCTGAGCCGCTTTATCCTGCTTGGATCCACGATTAACACCCTTGGTACCAGCAGTCACGAAATAAGGAGACACGTTGCACTGGGGAAATATGCAGTTAGAGACCTCTCCAAATTATTTAGGAGAAATGGTGTCAGTTTGAGGACAAAGGTGCATTGGATTCAGGCCATGGTCTTTCTGATCACTTGCTATGCGTCTGAGAGCTGAATGAATAAGGATTACAGAAGAAGTATTGCTGCCTTTGGGCTGTGGTGTTGAAGAGCTCTGAATATCCCATGGGCGGCCCAGAGAACAGTAAAGTCTTAGAGAAGGTGCAGCCGGAGTGCTTTTTTGTCTCCAAAAATGATGAGACTTCGCCTTAAATACTTCAGACATGTTGCTAGGAGAGGCTATTTCTTGGGGAGAGACATGATGCTGGGAGGGGTTGAGGGTCAGCGAAGGAGGGGAAGACCCTCAACCAGGTGGATTGACACGGTGAATGCTGCAATGGGCTCTTGCATGTCAGGAAGTGAGAGGATGGTGCAGGGTAGAACATGGTTCAGATCTTTTATTCATGGGGTCACTATGAGTCCTATTCAACCCAACAGCACCTAACAACAACGAATTTTATTTAAGAATTATAAACCCACTCCTCACTATCAATTTGTAGTCTCCAAAGACCAGGTTTCTAGGCAAAAATTGTTTTGTGTCAAGATGGAAGATTTCTTTACAACACTGCCAATGGCATCATTGTCCAGCTGTCCAGTGACATCATTGCTCAGCTGTCCAGTGACATCATTGCCCAGCTGTCCAGTGACATCATTGTCCAACTGTCTAATGGCATCATTGCTCAGCTGTCCAGTGACATTGTTGTGCAGCTGTCCAGTGACATCATCGTCCAGCTATCCAGTGACATCATCGCCCAGCTGTCCAGTGACATCATCGCCCAGCTGTCCAGTGACATCATCGCCCAGCTGTCCAGTGACATCATCGCCCAGCTGTCCAGTGACATCGTTGTGCCGCTGCAGTGACGTCACCACAGAACTGCCGCGCCCCGGGCTCAGCAGTGACAGCTCACACTCTCAGGCCCGCCACTACATTGTCCGTGCATGAACTAGGTGGTAGACCTCTGCAGTGTTGTTGTTAGGCATCGTTGAGTTGAAGATGACTCACAGTGACCCTACGAATGTCAGATTCCTGTCGTTATCAACATAAAACGCTGCATCATCAGAAAGTCGGCAAGGGGGAGCTGGTGGATGCGAGGGCTCTGTTGAGGGTCTGCGGCTTGGCTCTTTTGTGTCTTTTTCTATATTACCCAATAAATAAGTGGAGGGTCGTGGCAATAGCATGTGATCAATCTAATTGCTCACAGCACATTTCCTTTTAATGTTCATGGGGATGTGTGTCCTTGGGACAACTTGGGGCATGGCAAGCACCCCACTGCTCGCCCAGCTGGGTCTGGGCCCACTCTGTGAGGACAGACTAGCCCCCAAGGGGACATGGTGCCTCGGGTCCACTGTGTGGGACAGACTAGCCCCTAGGGGACACGAGGGGGACACAGAGCCTCAGGTCCACTGTGTGGGGACAGACTAACGCATGGTGCCGGGGAGAGACCTGCCTCTCTACTGAGCGCTATGGGCTTGACCGCCCCAGCAGCAGGGCTGGGACGCAGTGAGGATGGGGGAAGGAGAGGCTGTGTGTCAGCATTCTCTCTGAGCTTCCCTGAGGTGGCCACTCAGACACAAAGTGGTCTCTTGTGGTGTCTACTACTGGGTCTGCAGAAGCCACAGGAGAGGCACGCAGTTTCTCACAGGGTGCCTTTCCAATGCGTGTGTCCTGTGTCTCCCTGCATCTCCCGGACCAACTTCTCCACCTGGGGACTCAGACAGGTGCTGCTCTTGGCACAGTGCTGGCCTGGGCACCTCCGCGGGCAGAGCAGCACAGCTGCAAGAGTCCAGGGACAGTTAGAAGTTGGGTGTGCAGAGTGACCTGGCGGTGACCGCACACAAGCCGGGGGGTCCTGCCCAGGGAACTGGCATGGAGTGGGGACTCGTGCTTACGTCCGTCCAGGTGCAGAATTAGGTCAGTGATTGTTTCTATGACGACTTACTGAAATGAGACAGACTGACACCAATTCTGGTTCCTTCTGCCACCCAGCCCTTCCGAAAGGCCTTCTCCAGCTGAGCGGGTTCTGGGAGGAAAACCTGAACACCCAGCTGTCTCTTACAAAAACTGCCATCCGCACTTGCAAAGGAGGCTTCTCCAAAGAGAATGGCAGTAAACTGGATCCGTGCCATTCCGGTTCATGAACGTCGGTGAAATGTGTGTTCTGCGTGTTGTTTATGTTCAATCACGAGTCTCTAAGTCATTTTTTGCCCTCCAATGCCAAGGTGATTGTTGGATCTTGCTTGGCCATCATTTTGCCACATATGAAAGTCTGGTCAGGAAAGGTGGCCACTGTTACTCAGGCCCTTACAGCCAGGCCGGGGTGGTGTAGAGCATGAGGGTGGCTGAGACGTGGGTCCAGTCGCTTTGGCCATTTTAGCAGCCAAGGTGAACCGAGGCACAGAGATGTCATGAGCTTTGCCCTCAGAGCAGGCACACCTGGCAGCGGGCACACCTGGCAGCCGGCACAGCTAAGGTGAGGGGACAGCTGTCAGGCCACCCTCAGCAGTGGTGCGTCTGCATCGAGGTCATCCCAGAGCTTGGTCTTCACCTGTATCCTGTGTCCACACAGCTGGCTTGCGGTTCTCACCGGGACGTGGGGACTCCAAGGGCCGCGCCAGTGGAAGGCTGGGCGGGGCTGGGCTGTCTGAGGTCTCTGGGCCTGTGTGCAAGTGTGGGAACCGGTACGTGAATGTGTGTGAGAGCGAGAGGTGTGACCTAATACAGGAATGTGAGTGTCTATATGGGGAGTGTGTGACTACATATGAATGTGTATGTGGGTCCAAGCGTGTGTGTATGTGTGCACGTGTGTGTGAGAATGTGTGCTTTGAGGAGGAGCTTGTGGAGGGAGGGGCAGGGCTCTAGGGTGAGTGTGCAGGTGAGCCTGAGAAAGCACGTACGTGAGTGTGTGATCAGTGTATGAATACGGGGGTGTACCTGCGTGTGTGTATATATGTGTGAATGAGTGTGAGTGTGTGATGAATGTGTGGTATGGGGGTGTACTTTTATGTGTATGTACGTGTGAATGAGTGTGAGTGTGTGCCTGCACTTGGAGGAGGAGCGAATCGGGGATTCAGTGCGAATGTCTGGGGTCCGTGAATTTGCACGCGGAGGGACTGGGTGTTTTCTCACTCGCACCAACAAGAGTGCCCAGGGTGAGGAAGAGGGGTCGGGACTGCTGTGCAAAGTGAGAGCTTTGAGCTGTTTCTCAGAATGCCAACAATCCTCCGAGGTGCAGAATTTGCCTGAGTGTGAGGCAAGGCCAGGAGCCACAAGGCTGGGGGGCCAGGGCCTGCCCCCAGCACGGCTGAGGAGAGGTTCACTGACTGGAGAACTGAGTCCCAAGTGTCTGCACCTGGGCTGTTCCCTGTTCTTCCCAAAGATGTGGGGAAAACCATGAAGACTTTTATGGTCCTCACACTGCCCACTTTAGGTTAAAGCAACAGTGTGGACACAGGGCCCCTCTCTCTAGAAGGTTCTGGTTGTCTGGTGCCTCCAGGACGTGACCCTTCTCTCCAGATGGGGGGGCCCTATTACATCCAGCACAACTTTTGACCACGTGCCCAGGCAGCTCGCCCATTGGCCATCCCCTCCTTTCCCCAACTGCTGATGGTAGAGGGTGAGGGGGCCCAGGCCCGCACATTTCTGCCCTCTGCTGGCCTTCATGGAGTCACTGCTGAGCCCAGTTCTGCACAAATGAAACGGAAGTCCCTGGTAACTGGAAGCAGTGGGCCAATCCTCGAAGTCCTGGAAACAGCCAAGTGACCAAGGAAGAGCTATTGGGAGAATTGGCACTTTTAAACAGTAAATACATGGCATTTAAAGAGAAATATCAGAAAGAGGAAAGGAGGGAGGACAGAGAGACAAAGAAAAAGCAGGAAAGACAGAAACACAATCTTTAGTAGTCTGCATTTATAGACAGGGAAGATATACTGCTTTGATTTACAAGGGTTTTTGGTTGTTTTTTTTTAATAAAAGAATTAAAGGCAAGAGTTATTTTCAACTTTTTTGTTTTATTCCAAATTTTATTATAAATTCTGTCCTGTGATACATTTCAGATGATAAACTTTGTTATGAAATGTGGAAATAGTTTTATTTCAAAATGTGTTTGGAAATGTAGCATCAAGTGTTACATGTACAATGGGGTACAGGACCAGAAGGCGTCCTGGGCAAACGGGTGGAGCGTGGTTAGAAGGAAAGGCGAGGAGATTTTCTGAGGAGTCTGAACCTGGAGCTGAGGACACAGCTCCGAGAGGTCCAAGAACAGAACAGGAAGAAACCCATTGGTTGTTGCACACTAGGGAATGATTCCCAAATTGGGAGATGGCACATCTGATTGGGAGAGATTCTACACTTTTTTAAAGTTGTTTTCAAAGGTTAGAGTCCTCACATTGTGCAGCAGGTCAACAGAGCAGCCGGCCTGAATGACTAGAAATGGGAAATTTGCTCTATTTGGTCTTTGCTCTGAAAGTTGCCTGGATACACCTTCTTAGCTGGCAAGTAGCCCTGTGGGCGAACACAAGGGCTTCGGCTACTGCCTGCTTCTCTCAGGAGGAGCAGACTACATTCTGATGTAGAGGAGGGCCAGCCTCAGACTAGAGCAGAGCCACCACCTCATCTGGAAGTCCCAAATTGGTTTGGGGTACTCCTACTCAACCCCAAGCCCATACAGCCACCACCCAGCTTACAGACTCGAAACCTCGTTTCTCTCTCTCTAAGGACAGACCCCTTTGGACTCAAAACAGCTAAATGCTAGTTCAAATGTACTCACAGACCCCCAGGGAGAAAAGATCCCTCACTCCGGCCTCACAAAGCTCTCGCCCAGGAAGCCTGGCGGGCAGTCCCCCAACCTCTGCAGCCATTGTGGGTCAGAACCGAGCTGACGGCACATGACGAACCGCCGCAAAGGGGAGTCTCTTCTCACGAGGCTATTACAGCACCTGTGTGTCCAAAACAAGGGCCCGATGCTGATTTCTTGCGTAAGTGGCATTCTACGAGTTTCATTCCTGTGACGTGTGTTGCTTTTCTTCACTGGCCCTAGAACCCCATCTAATAAGAATTTTCAGAACAAATCCTTAAAATTCAAGAGCAGGAACATCTTCTGACTCTCTTTATTTTTAAGTTTTAAAATTTAATTAATTTTTATTTTAATTTTTCTCTTGACCAGAAGGAGGTTGGAGTAATTCACACTCAAATGTGACTAGTCCACAGCTGACCTAGCTCAAGAACCCTCTTCCAAGGATCCTTACATAATAAGAAAAATCTTTGCTTGTTTATCCAGAGCGAATCTAAAGGTTTGAGCTCCCCGCACTTAGAGGTACACTGTTAAACAGAGGCGTAACGAAGGGATTTGGCAAAGTCAAAGAGTTCAAAGGCAGCAAACAAAAATCAGCTGGTTTTCTATACAGCCGCAAAGACCTGAAAGGAACACGCTCATCTACAATAGTGTCTAAAAGAATGAAACACCTAGGAAGGAATTAAATGGGGAGGAAAGTTTGGCTCAGAGCAGGATTCAGAGCTGTTGTCCATGAGGTGGCTATGAGTTACAGGCTGCTTGATGGCACATAAAAACAACAACGGACTGACACAGTGACAGTTATAAAATACTGCAGAAAGAGAATCAAGGAGACAAACACATGGAAAGATCTTTAATGTTGATGGGTTCGAAGACTGAATACTGTGTCAGTACCATCCAAAGCACTCTGCAGGTTCAGTCCAATACAGATCAAAACTCCACCAGCCCTTTGCACAGAAATGGAAGAAACAAGTGTCAATGTGCTAAAGAATGGCGCAGAAGAGAAAGCAATGCTCAAAGAGCGGAGCACAAGGGCTGGTACCTCTTCTTTGTTAATGGAGCTTTGGTGGCCTAGGGGCAAGAAGCTGCACTGCGATACCGAAAGCATGAGGTTCAAGGCTCTGTACAAGAAAGATGCACCGTCTCCTCCTGTGCTATTAACTACCTCTGAAAGATCTTTTTTTTAAAGGAAGTAAAAAAGGCTATACTTCAAATTGGCAGCAATACACAATTGCTCAGTCACGGACAGCTTCTGAAATGTACTCCCAGGCACCTTAGCCTTCAGCCTCATGGCTTTAGGCCACTGTTAAAAAGCTCTTAGTCCTGCCAATTACGGCATCTCCCTTCCAGTTGTCCACCATCCTTGGGCAAAGGCTCCCAGCTCTGATTCCCTGGGGCAGCAGGCCCAAGCCAGTGGTCTCATGTCAGGTCTCTGGTTCTCTGCTGCAGCTGCCATGGCTGCTGCTCCTCTCGGCCGTGGTCTGAGTAGCATGGTAATCTTTGGCCCCAAAGGACACGCACATTCTCTGCTTCTTCTAGGATGTGGTGAGAGTCTCAATTTCTACTAACTAATGCCCTTGTGAATAGAGCAACACACCCCATTCTCATGTCCTCACCCATCAACATGGTAAAGTCAAACTCAATGACTAGGAAACTCATTTTGAACAATGAACCTTTGACACCACCAACTACCCCCTGGCTTTTCTAGCCATTCATCTTCATGTTTGAGGAATTAACTTGCCCTTACAACCATCTTACTCATAACAACATTCATGAAAGTGTGTAAGCCAGAGCCAATAGAATCAAATAGTATGTAAAATACATTATTGTGAACAAGTGGGGTTCATAACAGGAATGCAAAGATGGTTCCATAAAGGAAAAAGAGCTAATTTTAAAAACCCAAACCATTTATTACATTAATATAGCAAAAATTAACACGATCCCATCAATTGATGTAAAAAAGGCCTTTGACAAAATCCAACACACTTTCCTGATAAAAACACTCACCAAAATAGGAATGGAGGGCAATTTACCCAACATAGTGAAAAGTATATACACAAAACCAAGAGCCAACATCATTCTCAATGAAGAGAGAGGAAAGGCATTCCTCTTGCAAACAAGGACCAGGTAAGGCTGCCCACTGCCACCACTGCTTTTCAATATTGTATTGGAAGTCTTAGCAAGAGCAATAAGACAAGAGAAGGAAATAAGAGGTATCCAAATTCACAAGGAAATTGTGAAACCGTCACTATATGCAGACAATAGAATAGTATCCACTGGGAACCCCAAGACTCAGCTATAAAACCTGCAGAATGAAAATTAATAAAATAAAATTTAAATAATAAAAAAATAACATGGCAGCATTTAAGATTAACATACAAAAATCCCTTGGATTTCCTTACAGTAACAAAGAAAGCACAGAAATGGAAACTAGAAAAGCAATACCGTTCACAGCAGTCAACCACAAGATTAAATACTTAGGAGTAAACCTAACTAGTTGTTGCTGTTATTAAGTGCTGTAGAGTCATAGATGACCCATAGCGACTCCGACTCTATGGATGAAAGCCTTGAACACAAAACTTTCAACTTTTCTCCAGGTTTATAGAGTTTCCGGAGGCAGCTTTTTTTTGGAAGTGGAAGCCATTCCTGCTTCCAAGCCTGTTTTATTTGGGAGAGCCACAAAAAGCAGGCCTGAGGGCCCAAAGGCCTTTATAAATACGAGGCCAAATCCATTAAGCTCAAACCCTGTTGTGCGCAACAGCCACACCTTAGTCTTAACCCCAGACCACTGCTCTGCTCCTCTTCCCAGCCTGGTCTGGGGCTGTTTCCAGGCTGGGAAGTTGAGCGGAACAGCCAGATTCTGCAAAGGTGTGTTTCCTGGTTTGGGTTGGAGACTATGGTGTGGCAGTTGCTCCC